TAGAAATAACAAATAAATTTCAATAAAAAAAATCAGCCCTACATCTTTGTAAATCTAATCGAAATTGCAACGCCTTTCTAATACAAAAACAAAAAAACAACAACAAAATATAGACATTTAGTTCGCAACCAACGTGCCCAGAGTATAAAACCATCTACGTTCACATATTCGCACGAATACCAATTTTTTTTACTATTCATACTAGGGCAAAAACATTAGGAAATGACTGTTCTTCTTAATTTACTCAGTACTAGTAAGAACTATACATTTCAAGAGAGTATTACGAAGGCTCACGTTGCTCCTTGATTGTACCTTAGTCAATCATCTAATAAGTCGTCTGGCGAGTCTGGTAAGTGATGTTTTTGCTATATGGAAAAATCTGAGCAAGTAGTTAGCTAGCAGTGTTGCTTTATATAAAATTCGAGCCAAACATTCTACATGTCTTTGGCTAAGGCTTGGAGCTTCAAAGCAGATTCAGTATACAATATAAACGTAATATAAAAAATTAATATATTGCACTGGCACAAACAATATTTATCTAGGTAACGCCACGTCTTTATGGAACGATAGCAACGGAAATCTCTAGGATTATTGGCTCGCACTACCCGCGTATGTGTCCCAACACGCGGTCTGGGGCCATCCGCGTCCTCATTTCTGTGGTGACTCGTTCCACACTCAAAGACGTACTAGCACTTAGCTTTGCTGCTTGGTTCATCTACTACCTCGTTCTTTGAACAAACTACTCTTGACTCTAACGATTCGTTTTTTCGTTGCCACCAACTGCAATAACCTGTGTGAAAGAAAACCCTATTTTTCATTGTAGTGACAACGAACTATTACCGGCACAAATGCTATTTGTTTTGGCAACGTCTCGCGTTTTATGCAGTTTGTATTATGTAGCTGTCGCGTTTTACACAGTATGCATTGTCTTTTGTTCTCCGGGGGACTAAATACGCGTTAGCATAGGTAGTCCTTACGCTGTTATCCTTAATCGTGACACATCTCACTTCTCGGATTTTGTAAGCGTATGCACACGAACCTCATTTTTTTAGCTTATCTCTTTCAGAAGTAGAAGCCGCGGGCAGGACCTCTGAAACAAAGCTCCATTTTAAAAACGATCTGTTTCCGTCCGCTTTAATTAAGGTGAATGAGTGTGTGGCATGCTCTGCACACTTTAAAAATCGAGTTATAGTATCTCACGTTGATTTTAAGGATTAGAGACGCCTGGCAGTTAGGCAAGTACCTGGTTATCGATACATTTGACTAATTGGTGTCGTGTTCGGTGATATTTAAATTTCGCGGGCCTGAGCGTAAAACGATGGCCTCTGACGGCGGGACACCTGTGCAGATGTCCACGGTTGTTATGGTGTTGCGTAGGTCGGCGTTAAGTTTGGATCTTTTGTTTACAATAATTGGTATTCCATGATTATGCCCCATATGAAAACTTCTGCAGCATAGTGTCAGTAGTTAGTATTCCTTTAACAACAGTTAGCTTAACAGCAGTAAAAAGTTTCGTATTGATTGAAAATAAAACGATACTATAGATAGTGCTCAATCTGGAAATTTGTGAGTGAAAGGGATAATACCTGCGCTGCAACCACAAGATCTGTATTTTCTAAAGAAAAAACCCAAATTCTCCGGCTTGCCACTGTTGCCGTTCGTCAAGCGGCGAGTATATGGTAAATCGGCGGTTCCTGTTACTGCGAGCATTTCAATTAGTCGAATCCAGCCATAGTAAGAACTAAAACATACGCGTACTGTATATTTATCAATTAAAAAGCACTTTTGAAAAGTTCACTAAAATACACTACTACCGACTGGATAAATCGATAAATGGCCGAACTCATTAGGGTGTCCCAACCTCACAGCTACAAATTTCAATCTCAGTTTCAATATACAAAACCCTTTCCAACTTGAACTTTGCACTTCATATGAACTAATGAAGTTATAAATATGTATTATTGTCTATGTATCTATCCACATTATCAATTATAAGGTGGATAGATATATAGACATGAATGGCTTACTTTAACTAAAAAGGATTCTAAACTCAACAATATTATGTGCCGGGATCTGCCGCCTGTCTATACACCCGCTGTAAACAAGAATAGCCAAGTAAACAGTTGTAAACTTGGCCCAAAGGCATTGTCAACGTGTTGTGCTGTAGCTATTTAGCGGTGACAACCTATGTCGCTGGTATTCGACGAATGGCATCCAATTATGAACTGCCATTCCAACTAATGAACTAGATGGTTCTTCTGTTAGTACTTAGTATATTGACTCGGATGATATTGAATGTGGCGTCGTTCCTCTTGAGCCGCTCTCATATCGGTTTAACAGCTGGTCTGTCTAAGACTCTTTAACGAGTCACAGTAGGTATTCATTTCAGATTCGATAAGAGGTTTTTAAGCAGTAATTCGAATCATGCAGAAAAAGTTCCGTATTTCTTTCCTCTTAAACCTGAATCATAATGATATCTATAGTCTACGACTTCATTTGTCATTTCCCCGTAAGCTGCAACGTTGTATAACTAACAACATACCGAAATACCTAGAGGGTCTGCAATCTACGATACGTTATGACTCGCGTTTTGATCATGTAGTGCTTGCCCGCTTGCTTTTATATAAAAATTATTTTTTTTCTTATATATTTTTTGCTGCCCCGATTTCAAAATGGTTCGCTATTATTATAACCAAGTTTATTATATGGTTATTACTGTGGCGCCAAGTCTTAGAAATATTAGCGGCCTGCATAGGGCATATAACTAACTAGTATACCTAAGCATTGCAGCTTGCTGAATAAGGTGATTTGATCTTAGTGCAAACTAAACAAAACGTTTTCAAACTTAACGATATTGACTTAATTAGTCGTTTCTCTGCCGTTTGTTTGCATGACGCTTTTCTTCGCATTCATATAGTACCATCATCATAAGAGCTAACAAAAGGACAAAGTGTTTATAGGCTAGCTCGCACCAATCGACGCTGGTTTATAGCTCAGCTATCCAGGCTGGAACGTCGTCACCAGATCTCTGCTTCGGAAGAAGCTCATTCATTCACAGTTCTCTGTAGACATTTGATTACCCATTTTGATGGTGAGCCAGGCCAACGGCCCGACGCAATCGACAGGAATAGTCGATGGACGTCGCCGAACACCATCACTTTTTCGGTCAACGACGATTACAGCATCGTTACTTTTTGCATATCTGCCAGCGTCTTTCTTTATTACTTTACCATATATATATATATATATATATATAGAAACGACCGCAGCGGCAGAGGAAACAACAACGACAGCGATGATTCTTAGAACGGAAAACGATCATCCTGGCGCATCGACAAGCGGAGCACATAATGTAGCACACTGCAGACAGACTCGTACTAGACGTACCATTAAGCCCATCAGAGAGGTATTCGGCATTGATACCGACTACAAATACTCTATCAACAGCATCAGTCCCACTGCTGGCTGCAATAACAACGGCAGACACGAGACCGACCGATCGAGGTGAATCGTTGGTGAGGCACGGTCGGGTGACACATCCCTATCGTTTGCGGGTCAGATGGCCGATCGGCCAGCCAGTCGCTTCTGAGTAAAAGAGGGAACCAATTGCAACTGAAGGCGCTGCACTAAAAGAAATCTGCGTCAAAACAATAACAGTGATAAGCGATTTACTTAATTCAATAATGATTCGATCTCTACCACCGTCGAAAGGGCATCGTTTTTCGATTGTACAATATAACAGAACACGGTATATGATACAGTGATATTGTTATTCAATCGACTATTAGCCCATGACACGTCCACGTATTGAAAGAATAATGTGTCCGAACGCAGAAATATACAGTGAGATACATAATCGAGCTCTTTTGCTAACACGAAGACAAGGTACATCATCTTCATCCGAGAGGAATCGATGGTTTGTTTTCCTTGCGTAAATGCTTGAAAACCTTTCACTGCTGTAGAGCTGTCATTCACGCACAGTGGGTGCTGTCTTTGAACGCATGAGACCTATTATCCTATTCTGCTAAAGCTCTTTTATATTTAGTTAGGGGAACAGGTCGGACGGTCTCGAAGAAACGCGCCCGCTTCAAGTGACACCCTCATGTTGATTTTCTTGCTGGCTCTACTTTGATATTTGGGGACCGCGCACACCGATAAACTAATAAATAGCATGTGACATCGATTAGAGGCGTAACAGGCTTAACATGCTGCATACGACGTGACCATTATGATCCACCCTGATAGTCATTTTTCCTTTTTGATTTTTAGTTTTATCTTAGCTGTTCAATTATCAAATGCCTCGTTTCGCGTTATCTTGATATCAATCTATTTATTCTGTCAGACATATCATGTAGTCAAATGTCGATATAGGTACTTGCAACATTACATTTTGATATATAACTACTGGTTTTTACGAGCTAACGTCACACGATAGTATCACTAAATTAAGACCTAGAAAATCAGAAAACACTAATAAAATAGGCCAAACCCATCGATAAAACTATTCTTTTTGGCCTATGTTATTAGTTTGTTAGAGCAGCAACTGTTACAGTTTAAGGTCCTTTTTTTTTATATTGCTATTGTTACTGCATACACGTAGAAACACTTGTCCTTTGAACCTCAACTAGAATATTGTCTCCGTTTGTCGCGTTAACAAAATCCAAGCGCAAACCTCCGTGTCGTTTCCGTGTCTTATGTTGGCCTTGTCTATGCAGATGCCATTTACCACCAAAAGTACTCTTCCGTTCGCGGGCTTCACTTGACTTTTCCTCCTAACATCTTTCCACCTTTTATAAGAATCACAGAAGGTCGGAGCTTAAGCATAGCGCCGCTACAGGACGGCGATGCTACCGTCCACCCCATAGTATTGAGTCCGCTTTCAATCAAATCAATATCGTTTCCTCATATATATGCATAAATATATATTGAGAGCGCTTACTAACTAAGAATGTTATTACGGTTAATAATACCGGCTACTAATTTTGCTAGTTGTTACTAACCGGGTTTCAGTGTCAGCGCAGCAGCTCCGAGACTCTTCCGGTCGTTGCGCTGCCGCAGCTCATGTCGTAAGTAAAAAACGAGAGATGAACGTGTCGAGCGTCGCTCCTATACGGCCACGATGGGAGCATCACAGCGACACAGTATCCTCAAACAGAACCACTATCAACCATACCTCACTCATATTAATTATAATAATCAAATGGAGTAACCGCTGTTATGGTCGGGGTGACAATTGGAATCACGTCGCATTGAAGTAACATCGCTAGTTTAGTAATCCAGACCCATTCGTTCTGACGATGGCAACGGTTGGTCATTGCCGTTCCTTCCTCATGGGTCGGATGTGTATTGCAAGCCGATTCATGCGTATTTCTGCTAAACTGCTCCGCGGCAGTGTCTGCTGCCAATTATTAGTTTTTGTGATTCGTAATTATTATAGCATTTCACAACATCGTCTCTCGTTGTTGTAGCGTCCATGCCGCTTCGTAAAGTCGTGCAACTCATTGGTCTCACATTGTCACCCAGTTGCGCCCAGGTCGAGCCAAGAGCACCACTACGTTCTCGAAAGCCAGTAGGCAGTCAGCTTCATTTCATCAAGCTAATGTCGTATTCTATATATATATATATATATATATATATATATATATATATATATATATATATACACCTTATTATTATTATTATTATATGTCAGTAGATAAACTGCTCTTTTTTCGTGACTAATTGTAGCTATTGTTGTTGTTTTTGTTCGTTGCACAGCACCCTGCTGACAAGCAGATTGAACTTACTCCCATTTTGAGCTTCACAGGCATTCTGATACATTGATATTAAGAGACAGAGTAATCTCGGAAACCTAACGAGATCAGTGGGCAGAGACACTCAGGCTCTCCACCAATTCTTTATACTTCGGTCCTACGAATCGCACTATTCGTATTCGATCTTCATACCAATGATGAATATTTTTCTTTTTTCCATGAAACACCCCGCTGCTGGCGATCGTGCTGGGTCAAGAGATGGGAATTTGTTCGACTGATTCGTACCGCAATTAGTGTTGGCTCACCGCTTTTCTTGTTGACGCTGTCGCCGTGTGCACTTGTCAAACTATATCAAATTATTGTGGAATACTCTAATAACGATCACTCACTTCGATTAATTGTATTTCCTCTACAACACATTAACGTGTCTACTAACTATACCATATTAATTGCATGCTTTCTTCCCCTTTTAACGATCAAAGGTAACGGGGAGTCGGCAATTCAGCGCAGCTTCCTCTATACAATCTGCATCACAGGGCAATTTCGGTGTTTTTCAATCACTCACTCGCTCAGTCCCTACATTCACCGTTGGTCGGGTCCCTTCGGCTGATCCCTTAGCTGGTTATGGTCGCTCTATTCCTCTCTGTTCTTCTTGTGTCGAACGTACGGCACAGTACGACGGATCATTTGAACCCCCTTTGCCAACACCGGGCAGCAAAAAACGAAGACCAAGACAGCAGAGACGCCGTCGTTCGACCACCAACACTTTCAGCAGTACTAACACACGCACCCTTCTGTGCAGCGCGGCAGCTTCCCATCAGCAGTGGCAGTCACGGCTGTGGGGGTAGGTACAACAGCTCTCCACGATACCCCACACACCGCTATCACTGGTACACTAGTAAACTGGAACAGCCGACACATACACACACAGGCATCGTAGAACAGAGCTTTCCCAGGCGGCTGGTTCGTAAGTACAGACCGCGATCAGTACGCATACAGCACGGAACGAGCAGCCAGACGAGAGCAGGCGAACAGGCGGTAAGCAGAGATAGACACAGCGCACTAGCGGTCAAACCACACATGAGCTATTTCAGCCACTACAGTAGCGGCAAGACAGGCAGCCGCAGCTAAGCGCCGCCTGCTGCCACTACTACCCGACTATATTGCTACTGCTATGGGCAGTAGCTGCAAGACCGGCGCGCGCTAGCTAGCCGTCCGAATAACCAGACCGTCAGTCTGTCTCTAGACTCCAACAAAACGAGCAAAATTCTTGTCTCGACGTTTGTGTGGAGGAGATCTCGTTTATAGACAACCGTGCTATAATTTTCCCTATTGGAGAAGATGTAGGTTTTTCTACTCATAATTGTATATAACTTGTTATACAGAGTTGTCTAACGCCTAAGAACAGAAGTATATATATTGTTGGATGGAATGCCGCCATCAGAAATTTCGCCTGTACTGACTGAAGAGGAGTGTACGCATAGAAGTCTCAGGGAAGTTTGCGGGCTTGCCGGTAGGCCGGTTAATGCTTGCTCATTAGTGACAGTAATGGTAAAGAATTATGCCCGTGTACGAGTGACTGCTACTCCCGATGTTCCTCTGTGTTTGGAATACGGACAGTTTAAAGGCAACGCGTTCGGGTGTTCGGGAGCTCTGGCCGGGGTGAGCTGCAGTAGTATGAAAACGGTGAGGCTAATAGTGGTTCGATTTATACTGTATAAATTGTGCACTGATGGGTGGCTTTTAGGGAGAGCGCGGGCTTACGCCAGCGATTGGGGCAAGCAGCAATGCGCGCTTGGAGTGGAGTTGCTACGCTGTGCACGACATCTACGAGCAAGCATGGGTTGCTTGCGCGCTTGTGGAGCGCGAAAGCTTGACTTTTGCAAGAAAAGCGCGGGCTGGCGCCAGTTTTCGAATTGAGGCATCATAACCACAAGAATTGATAGGTAAAAAGCATAGAGTGCCCAATCATAGAAAGGGTTTCGTTTTCTAATTTTCGTCATAGATATCCATTGTTATGAAGAAATGGCAAAACATGCGTTATGCATCAACCCTTGAACATCATTCCATTAAATACTATCGTGTGTTGTAAGATATCCTTGTAAATACAAATGACTCGTACCGCATCGTGTGCTCTATGCATTCTACAGTGGATTTGCAGATGATCGAAATAGATTAATCGAGTTAACCTTGGCGAGAGCCAGAGAGTTTAACCTTGGCTTACGGAACCGAAAACCCTTCTTCCCTTATCAGTATGGCCAACACTTTTAATTTCACAACGATTACGAGTGAACGACGAATATTATACATTTGGGAGTAATTTTTCTTATGGACAAATGTGAACTTACACGTAGTGTAGCTTAATGTGATATAAAAATGGATCTTATTAGATATATTGCGTCCACTTTCACAATTCTATACTGTGTATAAAGCTGAATTCAATTTTTTCTTACTAAACATATTTCCAGCTATATGTTATAGTTAAAAAAAGAAATCCTGAAGAAGATTCAACTTTGCAATAAAACTTCAATGTTCTACTAATGCTACACACGTCAATTTTTCTCGGCTTCATTTTACCCTAGGTTTCTCATCGTATTGTAAGCCCACAGAACAATCACCTATTCAAATATACAGTATCATTTTGTAACGTGATTATATTGCTAAGATTGAATATAGCACATTTCAATCCTGAAGACGCATACCGGACCGTAGAAGACATAAGAGCGTAATCTGCGGGTTTCCATGAATGCCTTTTTCGCTCTTCAACACACGTTGAACACACTTGTACATGCAAGGTAATTAGCACAGGCATAACACTCGTACATCTAATAATATATCAGCATGGACGATCCTTATGGCCGTTTTGTAAACACTGGTCTGGCTTTGTTTTCGAACATGAAAATGAAACGAAATGCCCGTTGTCAATTGACGACCGAACGAGTTAACATTACCCTCTATGGAAAAAAAAACAACGTTTTTTTTTCTGTATGGAAAATTATTTAATTCATGATGTTTCGCACAAATTTTCGAGCTAAAACAATCCGGCCCAATTCAAGTAGTTTAAGGGGTCGCTTTTAGTCGCTTTTAGTTTAGTTGTATTCTAGATCGATTTGCGGGCTTTACCCCATGCCTATTTTTTTTCCTATCCATTTAAATAATTTGACTCATTGCTGTTACGCCCAACATAATGTAAACTACAAGACCAATGGTCTCCCCGTTGCGATTACTCTTCCTTACTTAACCCATTACCATTTACCTCTAATATGCTTGATGGGGCACTCAACCTACTTTAGCTACGTCTTGCTCAAGATACATTGGCATGCTATATATCTCTTTAATATGAGCACAGGGCTCTTCTACTGTTAGCTTTTTTTTTTTGGAGGTTAAGGGCAAATGCATTATGCACACCAGACATCACTGAATTGTGATTTGTCCGGTACTGTGGAATTCTCACCCACTAAACCCTGGACCCCTTTGTCAGCTTGGGCCATGATTCGGGATATGTTTGATATTACTTCGAACTTCTACTGTTAGCTGATTGATTGTTTTCGAGATGCATGTGCATAGGCTTGTCTGTTGGCCGATCTCCGACGAACGAGCGTAAATTAAGTAAGCCTTCGGCCAATTTTTACTAGACTTTGCAATTAAGTAGTCGGTTAACTTAGCGATTCTGTTCCATCACCGCATTACTACATCGGCAAGGCAATACGCCGTTCGAATTTTTGCGGTTTCTACTCAAAGGTAGTTTTTCTGTCGATATCTATCGAGTAGGGAAAAACTCTTTTTAGGTAGAACACAATGTTAAATTTTGCCCTCTGAGACGGCATTTTCGATCCGAACGCTGAGATCAAGGTAGATAAGCATGTATTGCACATCGATTCAGCTTATCGAGATAAATACGTTCTTTGTACAGACCTCATGTAATAAATGTTCACGTTGGTGTCACTTAACCAAAAAATTACCACATTTCGTTTTGCGCGTTATTCATGCTGTCTACTTTATCTATAGAAAGTTGTATTGAATCTTTACTTAGCTCGTCAAAATTTGTCGATTAAACTAAAGAATATCCGTTAACAAAGTGCTTCTTTGTGTAGCGAAAATATTTTCAATATGTTGGCAGTTCTTTTAAAAAATATTGTAGAGGACATCCTTGAAGCAAAAGTTGTTCCACGACTTATTCATTATATTAGAGACTGCAACTTTTCAATTGATTCAGAAATTAATTCAGAAATCGAGATTAATTTAGGAGACTCTCTTGTGTAAAACGCTACGCTAAATTTTCGCCCTCTGCGGGTACTTCCAGTTTGGAAATTGAGATCTGGGTATACCGACATTTTGATTCAGCCCGATGAAAGCTTTCAGCTGATATCAAACACTACCCCTCTATATCGATTCTACCACCTTGTCAATAAAACAAAATTTCAACAAAAGTTCTATAATACATTAATGTCTTTTGTGGTGATCTTCCCATAATAACAATAACAATATCAACTACCGTAGTATTGTTGTTCTGTGCGTGTTGCTTCTGCTACACCTACCGTCTGTGACCATAATGATTTATCGGGTGAAATGGTACTAATAGATTCATATACACACATATTATACATTCAGATACATAAGTAGGAAAGTTGTAACTACCTTAAATAGCGCCATTTGTTGCTTTAATAGTTCGAACTGTAATGTGCAGCTGGGAATAAGGGTGGACGTAAAAGCATTCCGTTAGCTAAGAAACGACGATTACGAACTTCTTTAATTTTGCAGTGCTATGCACTCAGTAGGACTGGTTTTTACACTGGACGTTGGGCAGATCTGGCTTTGTCGTCGAATTTTAGCTGGTGGCAGCCATTCGTCTGGCAAAAATAACGCATATTTCCTTTTTGTCTAGAAAAGCAGCATAATACGCACGATATTTAGTTAACGAGCAAGAAACTAACATTAATAAAACTGGATCATAGATAAAATCTCGAATTAGTATCCATTAAATAATCATACACAACGAAGCAAGCAGGTACAAAAAATGCTTACCAATAGCTCCTATGGAACATGGTACAGATGGAAATCGATTTCAGAAACTGCAAGCTAGTGTTGTCGCGCGTACAAATAAGACAGTTACAATACGCTTGTGGTATTGCATTCTTGCTATATATGTTACCCGATTGGTCGTCAGAAAACATGAAAACCCCTTAAAAATGTCTTGCTTTAGTCATGACCATGGAGTAGAGTCCTGTTCTGTTAAGTTAATGACATTACTGAAACTTAACACTAGATATAATTCATGATTAGCGACTTGATGGTACCCGTGATGATATTAATAACCAAAGCAAGCAATATTTGCATAGGCGTAAACGACTTTTATGTCATGTACCAGAGGAGGAACAAATGGTAATCTAGCGTTGTGGGATTTCGTCCTGTTGTAAGTGTTCATCTTACTTAGCCTTTAAAAAAAATTTTAATTTACAACAACTTACGTTATATAAGTTAGTTTTTCTAAATGATTCCAATAAAAAAATTTCCGTTGCAAATTGCAGTTGTTCTTTAAACCAGTGTAATAGCAGTTTTCGATACAAAAAACAGTGTTTTTTAGATTTAAGTGGCAGCCCTAAAACCGTCAGTTTCATTGGGAGCGCGAACAATCAGAGAGAAAGATAAGTTCAAACAAGTTGATGCCAATATATAATCGTTTCTTTTTTATGATGAGGGAAAGTAGCTTTTTCGTCCAATCCACCATGGCTAAGCGCTATTATATGACAGTGACTATAGTGACCAATGACCACGGTATGTATTCCTTCTCGCTATAATATTTGTTAGTCACGGTGCCAATAGATTTTTATGTCAAAATAAACGGTTCTAAATATGGTTTCTTTTACTATTATGACTTGCGCATGTGCTATTAGATTCTATCAAATATTTATTATTCTAGAAAAATCACGTATTGCCATAGACGAATCCTATATCTAAATGGACATCATGCTTCCCTTGTGTGCTAGTATACATGAAATTGGCCATGCACAAGATATTATAAGAAGAGTGAACGACTCTAATCAACGACAATAAGAGCCTCTCAAGAACACAGCAGCGATTGTTATGAGCAGTCGACGCTGGACTAGGGGCCCTAACCTGGTATTTAACTCTAAACGACCATCAAATCGGCATTCAAGCTCTTACGGCGCTTCTTTGATAAATAATATTAAAGCAACAAATTATATTTAGTTTAGCTTTTTTTGACAGAGGAATAAATACAAACAACAAACAATGTCATGTATATAAGCGAATATGCTGTCGTCCATTTAAGTTTTCATGTCCCAATTTTTTTCTTTTTAGCTATATATCTATTTGTTCGTCGATCTCTTGCTATGTGTGTTCTTCGATTTTGACCATTTGTGTTCAGATATTTCTGAACTCATAACTATTCAACAACCGTCTCCGTGTTTACAAGTTTGTTAAACCATTACCTGGACGTCAGTAACTCTAATGAAGAAGGGAAATGCTCTGGATTTGCTTAACAGAATAAGGTCAGGTAGGCATTCAAGTAGGCGGTGTAAAAGGTGAATTTAATGGTAGCACAGCGACGGCTACCATTACTCCGGGCACAAATCATTCTTATAACACGTACGCGTGTTGGTTGAATTGCCATTTCACTACCTAATAAAGTGTTCATTGAATGGAGACCGATCCGAGTCACCACGGCTGCATCGCACCGGCAGTGGGCGGTGAATTTAGCGACCACGACGCAGATACTATCCGTCATTGTGGAACAATTCAGTGGTCAGACAGGGACACACAGCTGGCGCAACTTCCAATGAATAAATGCAAAAGATACACTATAATGTAATTATCTACGTTGCATCTATCATCCTCCGTTTACCGTTTGCCCCAATTCATGTTCGCGAGTGCCCCATCAAAGCAGGATAGACATATACAGATTCGTCATCGATGACCGCAATGCGGCGGCCTCCGCAGTGGCAGCGTACAGAACAATAGTAATAACTGCGGTAATGTAAATCAAATCTGAGGTATTACCGATACACAACCGTTGTTAACGCTGCAATACTTATTCCTGCTCGCAATGGTTTTCCCCTTACAAGCTTCGTAAAGTTGACGGTTGGATCATGGGAACAGCATACAGCGCTGTTGATGTTGAAGCCGCCGTTCATGCCGACCTACAAGTGCCTGATCAGCCAGTCGGATTAGCTTACGCTATAATGAACTTTACACGGCAAATAGTACCCAATCATGTGCTCATCTGTGTGCTGTGGTGTGGTGTACATGGTGGCACTTCATGTGGAACACCTATGTGTGATGTACGTAATTGTTTACATGAATACTAACAGGTAAGCCTTCTGGTTCATTTGTGGGGTACTTCCTAGCAGCATAGCAGTTGGCTGGTGAATGAATGGTCGTCATTTAGTCTTTTCGGGGGTTCGATTGAGGGTAAACGATGAAAGCAATGTAGGAAGTAGCAAGTAGAAATCGGCATATGGATCGTCAAATGTCAGCTATTATAGAGAAACAACAATACCCACTACACACTGGAACATTCCCTGCGCGTCCATTAGCAAATTATAACAAATTTGGTAATTTTTTGATAATGATTTATGTATCATCATATACCTCATAATACAAAAATGACATGATTTAAAAAAAATAGATTTTGTGACGATGCTAATTCGGAAATTCACAACCGCATCCTAGTAATCGAACCTGCGCGATTCGTTCCTTGCCACCTAAGAATAATGCAATGATTTTGATAAGAATACTTATAAAGTGCCATTATTGGTTTCCCGAAATAAATAAATAAATCGAAGAAATGTGTGAGTAGTCGGCATCGTTGAATCTGTATAACACTCATTGAACACCTGGAAGAGTTGTAGTGAAAAGTACGCGGTCTGTATAAAGTAAGGTTGAGTACGAACCATATTATCTATATGCCTTATACAGACGCTTTTAAAACCGGCTGTGTTACCGTACAACCTGACTAAGTAGTATATTCTTAAAATCATACTATAAAAACCAGTAACTACGCGAGTTATTAAAAAAAAAAACAAGAGATTATATTTCCATACGAATGCTTCTGTTGAGACAAATGTAATAAATTTATAAAGAGCCGAATAGAAATTTGAGTGCCATTTCACTCGCTGAATCCACTTCTAATCTAAAAAAGTTGAAGACTTGCAGAAAAGGTAGTCTTAAGGCCAAATTATCTATATTTGAAAATTCTGACTTTATGTCACCATAACGAGGCTTGAGTCGTCTGGCAACCGAAAATTAAATAGGTGAACCTTCTCCTTTGCGGGTTCGCCACGGCTCAGCTGGTCGACTCTGACTATCAAAACAACAGTAGATGTATCCATCACCTAATTGAATTTTCAACTGGTCCTTGCTTTTTCCCAGTGCGATACGTATGTTCTACGTTCAGAAAAATATATTAATATCCTGTGATTTTATGATGTTTTGTGAAGTCATAACTTAAAAGTGTACAAATCTCACTCTGATGTAAACATTTTTCACAAACTCGTAAAAGATTACTGGCGGAAGTACATTATATACGATTGCATTTCAGTCATTTTATTTCAGAGTATGTCAGAGAAATTGTGATCAATCAAGAACTACCTGAAATAAAACCGGGTCACTCACAAGTCGACACGTATAATTTTAAAGACGATTGTCGCATATACAGCTTCAGGTATTAGCAGTTTAACTGTGGTGTTAATTACGTCTTTAAAGCTATATATGCTGTCTGGGCCCACTGGTATATAACAGTTTCTATGGAATATGGAACATGGGAAATATTGCATATTTCCCATGTTCTAGTTCAAAGATCATAACTGATTTGTGTGTTGAGTGTGACTCGCAACTTGAGAGGAACATAATCGAGAAATATATACATATATATATATATATATATTATTAAATTAAGCCTTCGTTTCGATGGATTACGCGAACCCTTTTTACAAACCCACCAACTTTTGACTCTAATCGCTATTGTTTTACGCATATAATGTTTAGGTGCCAATGTCCATGTAGTCATTCATTAAATACAATACTAAATCCAATGAAGTAAAAACCAGATTTTAGCAACTAATCATATTAAATATTAATTGTGTCTTGTTAGGCTGGTGATTTTTCAATTCTAGGGATGAACGAGACAATCAGAACCGGTGATGAACAACAATGGGTGTATGTATGCTTTAGGCAACTCTTGCTAAACCTGCGTTCTCGAAGAAGTCAACAGTAGTTTTCGAATTGGACAGACAGCAGGAAGGTTTTAAAACCTCATTGGTAATTTTCGGAAATAAATCAGAATGCATCGCGGGGGAATGAGTCGCCGTGATGGCGACCACTCTATCGTTAGCGACGAAGATCTTGAAAAGATTGCTGCTTATTTTTGGAATGCTATCAACACCCCGAGGGGCTTAATCCAGAAGGTTTGGTTTGACCTTATGCTCCATCTCGGTGCCGATGGTTAGTAAAAACTTATTTATGGCAGTATCTTGATTATAAGTTTTGATATGAATGATGACTAACCAAAAAATTCATCATTTATATGGGAAAACACTACCACGGAGTTTTCTCTTCAATGGTAGCTGATGTCACTTTACAATTGCGCGAGTCTCAAATTGAATAGTACAAATGAATCAAACATTGTAGGTATCTAATGCACAATCGCTTATACTGTTATCTTATACCCTTCTTTTATCCTATGCCTTTATTATTGTTATTTGCATTTTAGGCATTGAAAACCAGCACTCAATGAGAAAAGAGTCCTTCATCTTGTTAAAGTCGCAAACAGATGGTCGACGACGTTTACAGTGGAAATGGAATGGTATGATACGAGGATGCCCTATATTTGATGATCCCCCAAATCCACTTTGTCCAGTTAAAACGTTCCAGTTGTACATGTGTAAACTCAATCTACAGTGTCCACACATTTTCCAGCGGCCTCACGAAAATGTTGTCAAAACTTCTCGATTCTGGTACGTATCCTATTACATAATTCCATCAAGTAAATTTTCAATGAAAAACGCAAACTTTTTTTTACGCTTAAGCCTAAGACTTCAGTTCTCTTAGACCTCTTTTTTTTAATAAACGAATACTATTTTAGAGTACAAATTATTAATCCAACAAGAAGTTAGAAAAACGGCACTCAAACGAAAAAACCGTGAAGTGATGTTGTTGAATCATCACGCTAATGCTTTCTCGGCCATTTTCTTACTGGGAGACTATTTCGTGCCCAACTTTTAGTTCAGATATTTTCTCATTATATGAATCTTATTATATATTGAGATCCATGTAGCACAGGCTACAAGTTAAGCTTACATTTTTCTATTACTTTATCATTTTTTGTATATCTATAATATTGATTTCCTTGTTTCTTTTTTAATCGTGTATCTAGGAGCCTGGTGTAGTTAATACGAAATTATTCTTTTTGATTTTTTGTTCACTAAAATAAAAATATGTTAGGGTTACATTTCTAAGTCTGGTAGGGAAACAGAAAAGAACGAATAGTTTGACATGTGACTTATCCTATATTTAAGATTTATAGAGTTATTTTCAAATCAGTTTCATCCAGGTAATTCTGTTGTTGTTTTATCAAATGTTACAGCTTATCGCAACTTTCAAGTTTGAGCGATATTTCCACTTGAACTTGGCACTTGACATCTGTCAAATCATGTCCAATATTCTTGTGTTTTTCGGTTGTACAAATCTCCAGGTACCACATGTTTCCCTTGAACTCAACAATGTTGGCGTTAATGATGTATGACATCTCAAAGGAAGCGCGTCTCTCCAGAGTTTACCCTAACTTTTGCACTCAGATATTACCAGCAAAGGACAAATTTTATCGTATTTTCCGTGAGTCGTGGACAAAGCTGGAACGATACCTAGTGGCTCCTTATGAACGTGAGAGTGACGGCCGGCCGATCGCCCCGTTCAAACTGTGCCAGCAGTGTCTTGTGCCGGTTAAAAGCAATAAAAATGACAAAAATAACGGTTTGTACATAGCCTAACGTAATGTACGGGTAAATAAACGGTTCTCAACCAAATACAAAACAACGTATCTATAGAACACATGCCTATCTCTGTTGAATACTATTTTTCCTTGTATTATCTTAAACAGTGATAAAAATTCGTGCGTTATAATAATGCTGATACTAATTGGTATATTGTTGTTTTGTAGTTCCATGAACCCATGGAACATCTCTAGGAGAGTTGATTCTTAATGAACTCAACTCAAGAATTCAGTCAACAGAGCAATGTATTTAAAGGACATGATGATTGACCGGCACCTCTGTTTGGGATAATTTATGTTGCTTGTCTTAAGGAAGCCACTTCATTCCAATCGGAAGCTGAATACTTCTATATTTTAAAGTCAGCTGACTACGTAACTGTTTTGTTTCTCGGCATGATACTTATATATAGGGGCAAAGGGAATTCTGTGTTCTGTAGCTTGCTATGAAGCTTTCATGCGGGCGAAGGAGTTGCGACAACAACAGCCGCCTCCACCACCTCCGCCACAACTGGGAATGGGACCTGGGGGTCCTATGGGAGTGTTCGGGAGCCCGGGTTCCTCAAACGCACGTGGGATGCCTTCGATACTACGCAACAATCGAGCAATTCTGCCAACGGCGCCTCCGCCCGTGCTTGGTTGGTAGCTATATTATCGTCTATAGTTTACATCAAACGTCGATGATGAGTAGTTTTAACGTTGACAAAACAGAACGCAAGAAAACATATCGTTTATCTAGACAAACTGGTTGCACTGAACAGGTTGTAACCTAACAAGCACATTGACAATCTAGAAGTGCATTCATTTACTGAAACTTTCATCGAAATACATTATACGTTATTTTTTATTTTTTTGTTTTCAATTTAATAACATTTTTTATAAAAAGCGCTCTCAGCTATGATATAAGTAATGCAATCTGGTTAAGATTGAACGAACTTAGTTAACGAATTAAAAAACGTGTCTGCGATATTTAAAGCTAGGGAAATGTCGCTAAGGTTTTCCCTCGTTTTGTAAAAAAAAAAAGTCCAATATGAATTAAATTCTGGTACCTGCTAGGTGCATTACCTTTGTCAGTGGATTTTGTTAGTGCAGATAAGACTGGAAAAAGGCCAAAGATCGTGTGATCGCTTTGACAGCCTTGAAAAGCCTAAACGCCGTTTCTGTTAACATCCTTGAACCACACCGTTAAGATACACGATATATCATTAGGCTTAAGTTAAACTTTACGTATGTTGATTTAACTCTGTGAATATCTGGTACCGTTCGCAATCGTACCCGTAGTTTTGATTTCCTAGAAACTAACAATTATTACTATTATTGTGCATTGGCTAACTGTCCAATTAAAGGGAAAAATCTACCGCCTGAAGTATACAAGTTTATTCAGCAGGTAGCACGAATCCAAGCATGCGGCTATCCCAGGATGGATGGGACACCATTGCTGTTCAAAGAAGACTACAGTCCAGTCCAGGCTGACATCCCAAAGGATCTGTATGACCTCACAGTCGCAGTGCTCAACTCGGGCGGTGGAGCCGGAGCTGGAGGAGGGCCTAGCATTCCCGGAACAAATATGTCCCAAGTGGGAAGGTCTCCGATAACTCCGAACTCCACATTACCTAGTATACTTCGGCGATAAACTGAACTAGAGAAGACTGTCGCCGACATGCGTTGCAAAAAAGTGGTGATTAAGAAGTGCAAAATAAAATAAAATTCATAAACTACCGGAATCACCTGCTACTTCAAGATAACGCGTGCTATGATGCTCTCAAACAGGGGAACTTATCTATATCGGTGTTCTGTATCCTAATCTGAAGTTAGATTACAGAAAGAAAGAGTGTGCAACAGTTATGAGAGTGCATAGTAGAGGCAGACTATTGTGTTTGCTGCACAAGATAAATAACCTAACTTTAAATTATGTTCTAAGATTGTCGTACAGTACCACAGTTGCTTTACGAGCAAAGATATGAGAGCGGTGTGCCGATGATTTCTGGGTGAAACCCTTAATGGGCCGTTTAGTTAAAGAGCGACTGCTATCGATATTAAAGACGTAAATGGGGCTACTATTATTAGAAAGGGTATTATTAGGCGTACGCTTATCATGTCACACGAATGAGCGGATTCCATTGCGTTTTCCCCCAAGCCAATATCAGTTGGTTGCTAGTATTGAACCCTAATAAATATACAATCAATTACTCCAACCGAAGAAGTTTTGATAATATGAATATATCGAAGCCCATAAAATTGACATATGTTTATAATTTTACAAATATTCATATAAATAAAAATGAAGAAATACCATCTATTTTAGTTTGTATGCACACATAGAACTCTAATAACAGAACAGCGTGAAGTATATGAACCTGTCCTCAGTTCAGCTTTTGTGAGGCTGACCTTCATCCATGAATGCGGATTAGTGTATTGCGGCATGCTGTAAATACGATGAATGAGTTCGCGTGGCCCAAAGTATTAGTAACACTGTGACTAAAGCTACAATACTTTGCAAGGGCGAGCGGAGAGCAAGAATAATACGTGACTATATCTGTAGAAAAAATATATATATGAGTAAAATGTCCGATTTAAATAACTAACACAGTTTGAATAGAGCCTGTGCTCTATACGCACCTAATTGGATTCGAATATTAGTAGAGAAATACGTTTGATATATACTTTTTTTTATATACTTATGCAGGCATTTTATCTACGATACGAAACACGCGGGAAAAAAGAGTAAATAAAGGATTAGCAGTAACTCACTGCAAATCAGGCCCGTCTGGAGTGTTGTTTTGTACATTGAAAATTCCATGATATAATGGATGATTCATTGAATTGGCTTCTGAAAATAAGGTAGAACCTCTGCAATTACCGAAATATCGATAAACTTACATATCTCATAGATGAGCTAATGCGATAATTATTCCACAAGTAAATTTTTTGAAGAGCTCGTTAAGAAAATACCGCTTTAATGTATTAGTTTTCAGGGCCTTCTATGTTCCTAAAGAAAGCTCGTGTAAGGATACTTCAATATGTAAAAGTAAATATTAATCAAAATGTAAATATTGAAAATAGTACTGATTTATGTTACTGATCTAACTAGGTTCTTGAAATTGTTCGAAAAATAAAACCAACAAGGAGCGTGCGAAAAGTAAAATGGCTAACATTATGAAACGATAATTCGATTCCAACGCGGTATCATGACTAGAGAGCACATAAGTTTTATCTTACTAAGATAATTCTCCTTTCTTTAGCTAGATTTTCGATTTAAGTAACGTAAACAGCGGTAGGTTAATTCCAACTAAAGCAGTTATGTCCAAGTAAATGAATTCGTAAAAGATTTAAAGAAAAAAAATTGTTCTTACATTTGCTTTTGTTGAATATGTAGCGTGTCTGTTTTGCTGTCAATGGCTTTTTCGACTTCAATCAATATAAATCAATTGCCTTCAGATTACCTGCTTCTCTTGGAGTGGCACTGAACATAAATTAATTTTATGAGGAAGAAGAAATAAAGTTCATGCTAAATGAAAGTCTGTTTTAGGCACTGGTTTTCAAAAAATTCGTATGATACATAAAGTCATCATGCTTAGCGCTTTCTTTTCTGGCATTTATGGATCTACAGCATTTAAAAACACTTTGATTTTGAACGTAAAGATGCAATAATGATAAGGTAATCAAATTTTGTAGCGGGAGTTGTTATTACCACCAGCTTTGCGGAGTTCACACGAATCACCAGGCGATTGCCGTTATGGCATGGTTCCATAGTGTAGTGGTTATCACGTTTGCTTTACACGCAAAAGGTCGCCGGTTCGAGCCCGGCTGGAACCACATCTACTTTTTCCTATTACCTCTAAATATTATAAATACAATATGCTATCGTCCCGAAACACAAATGCTGACAAACAAATACACATTGATCTATAATAAATGTAGTTACCTATGCTAAAAAAACCTGAACTTTCCTTTATTTGTATTAAAAACTCTCCTATATTATTTTTTATTACTACTTTTCTAGAAAGTTCGGACTTTCGGAAATTCGGCGATCTAGGATTGATATTAATTCAGATCAACTGTTTACTCGCAGGATACACAAATAAGTTATTAAGATATTTGCTTTATACGAAATATTTCACATGGACTAATTTATGAAGTAATATATTTAAATCACCATCTACTCATATGTATAAAGACGGTTATTTTCGCTAACTAACGATACATTTTTTTTTCTAAATATAATACCTTTATTATGTCGAACTGTATCCAATTGTGTCGACTATTCGGACGTACAGGTTGGGATACTACGCCCTTTCCGACAGAATTCATTGAACATTTGAAACAGGCTTTGACCTTTTGCGTTATTTGCTTTTCAATCCATGTCGTACGACTCCTAAAATTAGATGCGTTTAATTATTTTTTTTAATAAATTACAGAGGCTATACGTTCAAAGTGAATGTTTATAAGCATTAATTGTATTCTTCCGTGACATTTTATCTTTACATCTAGGTTTCTTATCCAAACTCTTTCAATTTTTGCCAGGTACCTAAATATACATATGTGGTCTGGCGTTGTCATGGTAAAACTTGATGCCTTTTTCGTTCACTAGTTCCGCTTTGTTTTAATGTCTCGTTATAATCATGTTAGATATTAACATTAGTTGTCCGAATCAATCGTTTTCCAAGCGGAAGCAACTCATATTGTACGATTTCTGTCCACATTAAACACATAGCATCACCTCCTTTGGCGTCAGTCTGAGCTTTGCCGCAGATTATGGATTTCTTATTTCACATTATGATCGTACGTGATACACTTTGCCTCAACCGTTTCACAAGAAACGATTTCATCAACTTTTTTTCTCATTAGTCGCATATTACGAGAAGCATTTTTTCTCACAGAGAAAAGATAACAGAATCTTTTTTGGATCGTTTAGATCGGATGATAACGCATCTTGACCATAAACAGTGCATTTTTTTCACAAGCCTGAGTAGCAATTTCGCCTTCATCATAATAATATTGCCAAATCTAGCTAATTTTTGCAGGCGCTTTATTCGAAGCCGGAATAAAAGGAATCCAACAATTTTAACCGATCAGATCTCAGTCTCTAACAAATGCCAACCTGACGCTGAACCTATCTAGCCAGAAAAACGGTCAATACATACAGGGTATGGTAGGTAAATTAGGTAGATTTTGGTGGGCTGTTTATCGCAGCAAGTAAGCGTCCATTCGCTACACTTGCTACCTGTTTTTTTAAAACAAAACAATATGTGCGTTTTTCAATTTTTCAAAATTAGACTCCTATCCGCCATTTCCGCTTTCGATGAATCCAAACAAAATTGAAAACTTCCTTTTTATCCGAATTAACGATATACGTTATTGCCTTTCGTTCTGCATGCGACCTCTTTTTCATGTACCTTCTAAAAAATCCAAGAAAAGTTTCTGTAATGTAGATTGTAAGATGCCTAGCAGGTTTTAGATTTAAAGGACTAACTAATTAAAATGGTTTAAAAAGCCATTTTTATGCACGTGGATTTTTATTAAGCGAGGATGATATCAATTGTCTATTGGATCCTTCAGGTAGGCTGTAACAATTACTTTTTGCGTCATTTTGCGCGTTTTAAATCTTTTGGCCATTTTGAGCACTTGCGCGTTTTAATCAGATCAGAATTTAATTCTGCTAGAGTTTTGGGTAGATATTTAATCGGTATATTTATCAATATAATTTAACTAGTATCTATTAAACAATAACCATTAAAAGGATGTCTGCGGGTTAAGAAAACAGATATGTCAAAAATGACTAGTGAGTGATTTACATTTTGAAGCTGAAATCGCGGTGAATTATCCATTCGAAATGATACTTCCTGTACATTAAAAAATTTCATCAAAATTTATTTTTATTTAAATACAATTTTATCAACAAAATATTAAAAAAATATTCAATTTAGGCACCCTGTATGTATATGTTTCTTTACTGCTCATGTAACGTATATACTCATATAGTTGATTTCACTGCCTTCACTGTTCAACACAAGCACATATGTATTTTTCTTTCTAATGTCCCTATACCATATGAGTGCTAAGCCTAATTGCTGAGTTCTTATATTTTCTAATTATTCAACATCGGTAAATTCTAGATATGTATATAGGAGAGAAAAGCATTTCAACTGAAGTTTTACGAGTTTCGTGCGCATCTAGTGTGCTTTACATACGTAATGGGTGAGTATAGGTCAGCACACTAAGAAGTATCCGTTGTTACGTAAAAAAAAATAATAATAATCGGTTGTGTCTCCGAAAACTCAGTTGAATCCACAGCATGTGTACCGCTGTGCTATGGCTATAACTAAGCATAAGTGATGTCGTTATATGGACGGGATCTTGTGGTATTAACTATTTCAATAGCTACAAATGCTTAGATCTATTATGTCTCTGAATTAAATTACAGTTGTCGGTGAATAATTATTAAATTCTTTCCGTGCACATTTTATCTACAAGGAATACACGCAATCTCATATATTTCTCCATGCACATACAGGTGTTCGCGCTCATTTTGAAAACATTGGTTACTACATGTGTAAGCCAGAGTTAGGTGAACACAGATTTACATTATGTACATGTTCATTATGTTATACTTTAGTATGAAGTGTTATCTGTGGTAGGCACAGCTGTAAAAATGAAATGAATATATTGTGACAATTAAATGGTCGATAATGAACAGTTATATTGCTTTTATTTTTCTTATTTGAGATATCCTGCAGCACGAGAGGGTTCTATAGTCTTCTCATCTTGCGACAGAAAGCGCTATTTAGTAAAATTATTCTATGATTGTTGCACAGTTTGGAATCACTAGCAAATAAAATCCTTGCTTATATATAGGCGAACTTCTCCAATATAAAAGTCATAGTAATTAAGCAAGAATACATCAGTCATACGGCAGAAGAAAATCAGCTAAACGTAATGCAAGTACAACTATTATATGTAGTTATATTATATATAATAGTTACTTTTATAAACTTTAAGGGTACATTTAAGGGTAAGAGAACATTTACAGTTGATACTGAAGAAAAAAGTTTGGCAAACGTTCATGGATTTCTAAATACCAAAACTGGAAAATATAATGACGGAGTTAGACCGAGTAATTGATATCAGCATAATATAAATGAGTTTGTGATTTTTAAATATATATATATATATATATATATATGAAAAATCCATCACTCTGGCTCTATGTACAAAATGTGATACCGTTTTTGAAAGAAAATAAATATATATCTTAGACCAGCTCAATCCAGCAACGATATTATAAAAAATGATTTACGAAGAAATACATTGTCACGTGCAATTAAAAAATTTATGTCAGAAGTGGGGTTCGAACCCACGCCCTCATGCGAGGACCAGAAAGCTCACATCCTGCGAAAGCAGGCAAGGATAGCCTTGAGTCTGGCGCCTTAGACCACTCGGCCATTCTGACACAGTGCGACGTGGGTTTTCTTACCTTTTTCCAATTATGCTTATCTATAAGGGGATAAATTGCAAAATAATGCGGAAACTACTTGCTTCAAGTGGCAATAATGAACTCTTGCTGTCGTAAGTTGGGCTGTTATCACAATGGCGCGAGAAAGCAGTTACCTAAACATTCATTCCCGCCTTTGCGGTTAGGCCTAATTAATCTTCTCATTTAGACTACTACGGTCTTCCTGTTGGAACTGCAAGGGCTCGGTTACCTTATCCACTCCGTCCGTTCTAAACGTGCCTTGAAGTTTCATGTGGCTCTTGTTCATTGTCATTAAAACCTACACTACAATCACGGAATCAATACTATGGCACGAAAGAACGTCTGTTACGCTAATAATTTTAGTGATGAAAAGATTCGAAAAAATACAATTTTTGTTTGCTCGATTTTTATTAATGCAACTTGTGATTTTATTGACCTATGGATGACGTTCGCGCGGTCAGCGTATGTTCATGCTCAAATATAAAATAATAGTGATGACAATAATTAGATCTATGATACACAAACTTCAATTGAAATCATACAATTCTGTTCGGCATATAGCACTGAGTGATTAAGCAATACAAAAAGTATATTAAGCATATCTGTAGTTACGGTAACATTGGTGATCTCGAATCATACGGCGCATGGATTGCTGAGAACCTTCCCACTATGGTCGTCTTTCACCTCCGATGGAGACTTTCTGCATTTGAATGCAATGAATTGGTGAGAGTTTGCACTAGAGCTATGAACGTGTCTTAGAATACGGTTTGCTTGCTTTTCGAATCTCTGTTCCCAATGCAGCATGTCATTTATATGCAGACTTTTCAAGTCTTATGCTTTTTGTGTGTCGCTGAAACAATGTATGTTCCAATCGGTTCATATCGATTTTGCGCTACTACTTTTCATGAAATATTCAATTTCCCTGCCTCATTCTTTCTGTGTGCAATACTCTCAACTTTTAGTTAAATCGATATAATCGTTTTTAGGCCTTTCTGGCTTTTATAGTTGTGAAGTGGCACATTTCGGTAAGAGATAGTCGTCCAGGTCTAGACTAAGTTGGCCAAGCTTACGGCAGTCTTTGATAGACGATGCATCCGTCTCCTCTTTTTTGATTTCTTGGCGAAGCTGTTTGCAGATGTCTTCGAATGAGAGACGATCCAGCGGATCGGTTTTCCAGCAACCAGCCATTATAGAATACACATAGGCGGGGCAATCCTCAGGCGGGCACAGCAGGATGCCTTGAAGTATCAGTTTTACCACCTGGAAAAGTAGATAAACAGCAACGCAAAAGATATTATCATACGTCACCAGTATTATAGTATTCAGAACAACGACACGACAATAAAAAATAACGAATAAGCGTTTGGCTCAGCTTCAGTATAGTCATCCGTTCCTTCATTTTAATAAGTTATGGATTTTATTGATTTATTTTACAGATAATGCCAGTCGTATGAATTAAAGCAAAATTTCATCATTAGGCCTCAATTTTTGAGTAATTAATTTACTATATATGTAGACCGAGGCAGCTGTCAATATGATCATAGCAAGCAAGACCTGTTATTTAGTTCCAGATCTAGACAAAGTCGTATTAAAATATTCACACAAGCGGCAAAGAAGACTACCCGTTCATCAGGTGAAGCATTGTAGATCTCACCGATGCTTTTTGTGACAGTGGTGGTCACAAAACCACTGTAGATCAAAACGCACAAAAAAGTAGTTTGAAAGTTTCTTCCAAAAAATACGTATTATGTATTTTAGTAATTTGAATTTAGTAGTAATTTGAAGTGGAAAGATTTACCATTTTAATCTCAGCTTCAAATAAAAGTAAAGAGGCTATACATGAAGCTTGAAATGTTGTACATTGCTATATTGCTTGCTATGAACTCGTATTTATGTGCGTGATTTCTATACACATTTTTGGGAATGACTGCAAAGGACAAAATGAAGATTTGACCGAGCTCAGAAATCAGTAAAAATCACGTTTACTCTGTCTGGATTGAACCTGCGGACACCACGGATTTTTGCACCATTTGCAAACCGCTGTTTGCCCCTTTTTGAAGATATAAATATAATAAAATATGCCTGCCGTGACCAGGATTCGAACCTGGGTTATTGCGGCCACAACGCAAGGTACTAACCACTATACGACCACGGCTGACAGTCAACGATCGTGCGCCGCACTTCGATCGCATGTTGCTGTAAATTGAGCTCGATTATCTCTACAGGGATAAGTAAAGTCGATGTTATGTAATAATATGTGGTGGCTGCTACATAAGGAATGTGAATCAATGAGTGCTGATTTAAAATAAAAATCTGTGACATAAAATATTTGAGCTTCCAGTTTTTTGAGATTGAAATACCCAGTAGCATCCGTAGCATCATTGATTTATCTAGCACACCATTCTCTTCGTTCTAGGAACCGATATCGATCTGTACTACGCATAATGTGCTTCACAAGAAATTCATATGATTCCACTTATCAGTTATATATTTATATACATTTATACACTTCATTATAGCTCCAAATGTGATGATTTTTTCAATCAAGTTCATTCTATTTTTTATTTATAGGTATTGTGGCTATATATATATATATATATATATATATATATAGCAACTAAAAAAAAGCAGAACCACGTATTTGAACCCGGTCGATTATAATTTACAGGTAAAAACCTGAAGAGGACTACGCTTTACATAAAAATTTGGAAAGGTGATATTACAAACTTTCACTTCTCACGTCCTCGTTTAGTGCAAGAGTAATCTTCGATTAGACGAAAAAATATTTTTGCTGACAGGCTACCGGTGAGTCCTCTAATTTATACCATTAAAACTATATTGAGTGTTGAAATTTTGTCGAAAAGTAATCACTGCACCATAATATCAAGTATTTGTCTGCTCAAATGAAAACTGTGGTAAACATTACACGCTTCGAGACCATAGTTTGGCAATGAATGCCAGACATTTTTGTACTGTGTAGAAGCAGATCGTTTCCACTCTTTGAATTAAAAGAATGTCACTGCAAAAACCGCGATCAAGTATGGAATGGTAGTACCTGTCTGAGATAGTGCCTTAATGAAAATTACCAATCTGTAGTTTTTTGTTTAACAGGCTGATACAAACAAAATGGCTGCCCTATTCGATACCATACACCATCAAGGGCCCATTGATTGTTACAACTGTTTTTGCGTACAATATTAATAAAAAAAAATGTACTATGTTTCTCAATATCACCGTATGTAATAGCCTACATCGCAGGATGGCAGAAAGCTATTTCATCGCTTAGTATGCATTGTATACTTGCTGTATTTGAAAGTGCTCGTTGAGGGACACATTGGTTATCAGAAGCCAACAACAAGTGTTACGAGTGTGTTGATTTTAACCGAAATCTAGTCACTGTTGTAGAACAAATAATCATGTGTAAACGGCTGCAACTACGTTTCAAGTCTTGTCTGTATTTTTTTGCCCAGTAAAATAGTATAAATGTATAAATGTTCAGCTTATATGGTTAATTTTGCTTTCGATAAGTGTTTTGTTAAATTTTGCTAAATTTTTATTGTATGCGGATTATTCAGCCAAAAAGAACTTGCCGTGACCAGGATTCGAACCTGGGTTATTGCGGCCACAACGCAAGGTACTAACCACTATACGATCACGGCTGACGTCAACACGCTAATATGGCTGACATTATCGATTGCCTTTAGAATAGGCAGGTAACTGTTTGACATGCAAACTTCGAACTATTTTGCTGTATTTCTCTTTGCTGCTCTATGACAACACGGCAAGATTCTAGACAACGCTTGCAACATCCTAGCACAGGTCATTATCTTTAATGTCAGCATCAACATCGCTAGAAATCTCTGTATTCAGAGATTATTGTATGTTCATTAGACTCCACTTAGACTGGTGTGTCAAAATGTCAGTTGGTCAAAATGAGCAATGCGTAAGAAAAAAGAATATCAAAATTTTGGTAACGTTTAGTTTGTATGACGTTTCGACAAGAATTTGGCACCTACATTTCTGGGTATTTGGTTGTGTGTACTGACTTGAGGCACGCTAAAACCGTGCCCGGCTAGCTCAGTCGGTAGAGCATGAGACTCTTAATCTCAGGGTCGTGGGTTCGAGCCCCACGTTGGGCGCCACTTTTTTCTCTTGCTTCAAGGTTTCCAAATTTTGTTGATGCCCTAAATAAAAAAATAACGAATTGCAAACTGAAAGAGGTGGTTATACGAACATATTTATATTCCTATAAATCCAACGGAGCATTAATTTTCACGAGTAAAATCATTGTTACTCGGACGCGGCGTTTGTGTTGGGAAATTGGGCGCTCGACAGCGACAATAATTATAATATTATATTTTTGATGAGCGTCATCTAAGCAAATTAAGCTGCATATACCATACAACCACAAATAGGCCAATGAATTAATAGTAATTAGTTGCCTTTCTTAAGTGTAATAGAGTAAATGTAGGCCCTTAGAGAGCCCATTTCATTCAGCCATTCAGAGCCTCTCTGGAAATCTACCTAAGCTAATAGATTGTATCTTCCTAATACTGCACACCAAAAAGCAGAGTCGTGCAGTTTGCCTTCTGAGATACGCTGCCTATGTTGTACACAGCTCGCCCTGAAGACGATGACCAGTATCATATTTTTTTTGCTAGGTTTGCCGTAGCATAGTGCGCTCCTTTTCGTCTTCATCTGGCCTTCTTCGGTCCCTAAATTTCGTTGAGTGTGCGTATCCTTTACGTGCACTATTGGATCACGGCGGTAGCTTAAACGAATAATGAATGCCACGACCCAGGTCAGCTTAATTCGCCTTACTGAGTTGAGGAACAAAGCGCCCGAATCGCGGCCCCTTAGTGCGTCCCTGCCATATAGATGTGACTGAATTTTGCCTTCAAAGAGAAACGACAAAGATAGACAATGCGCCGGGAAACTACAGAAAAGTAGCAGAAAAAAAGCCCTCTTTCACAGCTTCTCGGCGGTAACTACAGAGATAATTTTGGTGGTCGTAGGCAGATTTATGTAGTGTGGTGGGTGATGAAAAAATAGCATGAGAATCTATAAAGATAGAAGGGTAACAGTACATACAGTGAATGCCGAACGCCTCTGTTCAAAATTGGATTAGCCTGGGAAAAACAGGCTGGATATATGTTGCCAGATGTACGTCACAGACCACACAGATAAAGTCTTCCGTTGGCTGAGGAGCTCAAGATGATTTCGTCCGCAATGCTGCTTGATCGTGCGTCCGTTTAATGAGGCCCTTATAAAACCGTTATGATGAATGTGGATGGCCTATAATATACATGTGTATGCAGTCAGGTGTAAATTGGAACAGGTTCGAATATTGAAATCGTTCCCGGCATAAGCGCGGCATGGAGCATAGAGACACTGAGATTCGCTTTCTTATGATGAGCAAATGCCAGGTTAAAAGGAAGTGTTTCAGAAGAGCTGTCTTGTTTTTCATGGGAATACGGTTGGATCAGGCGTTAAGGTGCCACTAACCACAGCAGTTTTGCGAGAATCGCCCTTTCACTTTACTGGTTCCCCTTGCTAGAGCTATAGGGCCGTCGGCTGTATTTTAGGTATGCTAAATTTCTTCGTCGACTTCGATGATAAAAACAATGATGGCAATAATGGTTATAGCTAAGGTAATTTGAAATGTAGCTTCTGGGTGTTTCTGAAAAGGGAGAAACATGCGGTAGTGGTGACAATCACGTGGAACAGTGTTGGCTTATTCTCCGCTTCGACGTGCATATATTTTCATTCGCAGTATATACTTGTAGAACGGCTTGTTCAATTTGTCGGGTATACGACCCGTCAAATCTAGCTGAGTATTGCGGTTAATATACAGTATAGCGCCTTATCGTTTTAAGCGATCTGAAATATACACATTTGTAAATGATGTAACTGCGCATGGCCGCACTGTATGTAACGTGCATCTATCATGTTATAAGTACAACTGTGTCACTCATCTTTATAGTACCCTACTTATTAAGATCTCACGGGTTTTATCCGATATATTGTACTGAAACGATTTTAACGAAGCTCTAGAAGCGTTAAGTTATAACTAAGCTTTAAAACCAACTTGATTAATAAACTTACTTCTTCATTAGAGTGTCCGTAGTAGGGCTGTTTTCCAAATGTAAATATTTCCCAGAGTACAACACCATAGGACCACATATCCGATTCCAAAGTGAATTTCCCGTACATTATTGATTCTGGGGCCATCCACCGCACCGGAAGCATACGCGATCCTCCGATCTAATTACAAGCACATATATACACACACAAACAGAAAGGAACACGCTCATTGATGTTTTTTTAACAGGCGACAATCAATAGTACGAGTTCATCTTGTAATCGTCGTTCTTCATTATACGATGATTTTCAACTGTGCCCATATCTACAAACGGTACGCCCTCTATATATACCACGTATATATAGTTAACCTTTAAACATAAAATCTAATCATGTGTTTGCCCTTGGCTTAAAAGGTCTCATTGTATCTCTTCGCTTGCTCAGAGAATTATCAACGCTAAGTGCCATTAGCTAATAGATCAGAGAGATCGATCAAGATCAGCTTTAGTTTCATCTCAACCTCAGAAACCTTAACCTTGCGTTTAGCACCTATCGCGCGCAAGCATAGCTGACGAATAACACGACTAAAAAAGCGTTAACCGCTCCAACGGAAAGTGTTCTTTCAGTTGACAGCTCCAAATCAGCTACATGATTATTAAGACGATGCTGTCCGGGGGTAGTGTATTTACAGCGGTTTCAATGTTCAGTAAACTCATGTATTTTGGCCGCTGCGGTTGTATTAGTTGAGGGGGTATTACGACGACTAAATTTACATTCGACCGGTTTCTTTTAGAGCAATTCGATCGGTATCTGTAAATCTTTAAAAGAATAATATCCAGTTCAAACTATTAAATAATACATTTGCCTGAACATAGCATGATTTCCTGATGATCTATCGTGGAATTGATTTATTATCGTACCGAACCTATTTAAAAGTAGAAGTTACGTTCATTCTGTATAGGCGCCTTCGATAGTTATTTTCTAACAATTAAGGGATAACACTAGCAAAAATCGGTTGATAACTGTGCTATTTTGATAGACAGATTCAGGAAATTGGGTCTTTTCCAGTCATTATATTGGCAATAATAATAATAATAATTTATTAATAGAGGTAAAAAAAAAAAGGCAAGTGATCGAAAAAAGTTCACCAATTTCAAAAGTATCTTAATATAGTTGTACTTTGTAGACAATCACAAGTAACGATAATTTCCCTTTTTGTGCCAATGAAATGAGATAGCTTATGCCCTTGGCAAATGCTACTGTCGTATTAAGGCTATCTCCGCAAGAGTACTAGCACAAGTATTAATCAGTTATTCATACGTTACACACGAACCTAATTGAAATTTTCAAAAAAGAAAATTTGTTTTTGATTCACGATCTCAGTCCGTTAAGTGCAACAACAGCGTATTGTTCGTGCGCCTTGTTCAAAGCTTGTGAGACTCAAACCAATCTATTAAACGCATGTCTCCTTACCGTAAATCTTTCCTTACCTTAAATACGACCAGTTTTGAGAGACACCCCTGGTTGTAGCAGGGGATTCTACGTAAGTTCTGCCAATAGAAAAACATTTCGTCCAGTAATAATAACCTACGTATTTGAGGAGGAGTCGGTATCGGATATAATATTTGATTATAAACTGATAAAACTGGATAGTTGTTACCTGCCAACACAAAAAAAAGAAGCTCGTTTACGTACGCTTCGTTTCCTAAAATCAATAGCCAAAACTAAAAAATCTAGAGAAAAAAAAAAAAATAAAGAATCGAACATAAATAGCATATTCGTGAATTAAAACAGTCCTTCACAGGTACCTGTCGTAAAGTACAATTCGTAAGACACAATACGTGAACGTTTAGACTGAAGATATAAACAAATTCATAATGATTACCGCGTTTTAATAAAGGACAATAAACACGTTCGTCTAATAAACTATTTGATTTGTCAAAACCTGCAAAATTTGCAGCAAAAACGGAATTAACAATTTGCGGTTTCTTATAGTGAACTTCGTGAAGACTTTTCAGGAAGTGAGCGATCGTCTAGTAAATACTAGATCAATATATGAAGTTGTTCATATTGATCGACATCGTATTAGACAAGCTACGTTTGCTAAATAATTCAATTTGTAAGGAGGATTTAATAACTAACATTGATTTTACATACATATTTAGTCGTTTCTCACGTTACTGCGGTAACTTCATTGTTTCACCTAATCTTAAGAAGATTACAATGTAAAATGTAACAAACATTTTTGTTTATTCACCTATACAAACCTTGTTAATATATAAATTCTCACGAAACTCAACTATTTTGTGCTAACAGCCGTAAATACAATAAACAAATGAAAAAAAAACTTGTCCGTTTACAATTCAGTGCGGCGTTTCTAATCGACTGAAGCAAATGCTTTACTTAGAACAATGCTATTTGTTTTGAACATTTCTAAATGTCTAAACGTTGCAATCAACAAGAGTCCGACGTTCAGAGTTTCAGAATACAATGATGTGTAACAATTTACAAAATTACTCCATAAACAATAATAACTGGGCTTTACTGCGGGCCTTTTTGTTTTTAGTTCGCTCTCGCGCATGATCTTAAATTGTCCGCGTATGCTACTTGTCTGCGTGTACAGTCTGGTGTTAAATAGATCTGGCAGATTAGCGTTGCTTAACTTCAGGTAGTTTCCCAAAACCGATCTGACGTACAATGTTCTCAGTAGTTTTATGCGAGCGGCCAATAAAGAGAAGCCGTAGTACATGCAAAAGATCACAAACTGCTAGCGTTTAATAGTCAAGCCATAGGGACCTAAGTAAGGTCCACCTTCTACCAATGGGTGGACAGAATCCACAAAAACTAATAAAATAATAGATCTTCTTATTAATGCTTTCTAGATAGCATGGCATATTTTCATCTGTTCCACGATACTTAACACTAGCTGTTAGTTACGTAAGTTCGATAACCAAGACAACCTGCATGAAACGTACAAAATATCTTTTGTTGTACTACTGCCCGAAAGGTCATTCAGTGTTTTCATCCTATAGGAATTCCTTTTATATTAAAGGATATATAAAAAGGAAGGATATTGATAATGCAGAGAGTATCTGATCCATCCGAGTTTGTTTGCAGGACCAAAATAAATCTATTAGTACTATTTAAAGCTCTTATCTAATCTAAAAAGCTATGTCGGTGCGAGAGCTATCAGCACAGCCAACGACCACCCGGCGTATCATAATGGTCGCTAGCTATGCTTAACTTGTGGCTGAAATGGTTCTGTCGGCGATTGGAACTGTTGTCGATGGGTTGGCAGGATGTGGGTCAACGAGGAATCAAGAGTGGGATTTAGGCCGCTCAGCTTAGTGGTCTGCTCTAATAAGCAAACTTCTAAAGATTGCTTTGAGGCTAGCATTTGGTAAATGTTAGATCGGCTCTCATAAGACGTGAACTCTCGGAGAAGGCCGAAAAGTGTACAAATTAGGTAGTGACCAACCTTATAATAGTCACACGTATACACGTCTCGAGACATGCCGAAGTCCGAGATCTTCACGCAAAGGTTGTTTCCGACGAGGCAGTTTCGCGTCGCCAGGTCACGGTGGACGAAGTGCTGCACAGACAGGTACAGCATACCATTTGCAATTTGGCTTGCAATTGATAAAAGGTCAGCCTGAAAGGACAGCAATGTGTCAATGTTATAATAACTATATACTTACTATAACTATGTAGCTATAATTTATTAGCTATTGCCTACTATTAATAATGAAAATCTTCTCTATGAGCGTGTACCTAATATTCTATAATACTAGATGACGGATAATTTCTGTTTTAGGTATGTTCGAGAAAAGAGCCTAGTTAACAATCGGCTTTGTTATAACGTACGATATACCTGTACTGTATTTCGCTGTCACCTATGTAGAAGTCCTTGTAGAAGACTACAAAAACATGTGGTTAATGGCCTGAAGTCTATGGAACGCGCTATGTTCACGTTCATTTTGGTTCTCTGTCATATTTTGGTATGGAAGCGCGCAGATTTTTAAATAAGCACCTTAGTCTATTAGAGCATAAAAGATGTGATCTAAGACTGTCTCTTCTAGCCACGATGCGGTCCCATCTAAGTGGTTAGTAGGCAACAATTGAAATCAATAACATTTCAAGTCACTTCCGTGCACGTAACTGTGAACAAGGTTATTTCGACGAGTAAGCATTATTGATGAAAGAACAAATATTGTCCTTCAAGCTATATGACGCGGCAATACAATCACTCAGCTGCGATCGAAGCAAGACATTTACTTAGAATATTTTCTAGCAAATATAAAGCACCAGATTGGAGGATGGATCTTTACAAGATTTTAGAATAATTAAGATGGTGAGTGATAGAACATCAAACGGAAAACGCAGCAGTAGCAGTAGCAGTATTGGACCCTCGCGCGCCATTAAAGCATTGGGCTGGTGCTGGGATGCTATGGCGTAGATATGGGCTGACAAAAGGAATGCTCTATAGCCTGAAAAACGAGCGCGCAAATGCTTACTGCCACCAGACTGAACACGAAAGATCTTCCCGAGGCTCCCGCTTACACAACGATTTAGTCGGAAAACGGAAAATGGATCGAGTACAATGAAGGAAGATTGCTTGAAGAATCTAAGCTTGCAAACACATACAAGCTTCAGTTTTCCGGAAGACTTCAGCCGCCGTCAATGCAATTAAGTAGTACAAAGTTGAACCCAATCGAGTTTTCTTGCGTACGATACACTCATGATGAACATACATATAAAATTGGGAAATCGATTAATGAACATCACAAATAAAACTGATACCAGTTCAAGGCGATTGTAGTGGTCAACTCCAGATTGTAAAAAGTTTGGTACAGTATACTGTGTAAGAACAGGCTATAGTTAAGTTTTGTCAATTTATATGTACTTATTGATGTTGATGAGAGAGTTTCAAGCAATTTCATTTCAAATCCTCATTGATGTGTCGTCACATAAGAACAAAATCACAGTTATTTCAATCAATAGATCAAAGATACCTACTCTGTCTATAAAGTATTATAAATATCTAAACTCATTTAATTACATATATTCACCACGTACTAGTTAACTGGATTCCGTCAAAACACATTTGCGGATATAAAAACGTCTAAAGTCTCGAATTCTGGTTCGGGCTTACGGCCAAGATCGTGTGACAGGCAACACATTAAAAACCCCTGATCTCTGCATTTTAGTTCACTGACATTCTGAGTTGCTTAGGAGGACAAAAGATACATATTAATGTATCATAATACAGGATACAGGATACATATTAATGGACGCAATATTGCTTGAATTTGGCCAGTGATGTATCGTTCAGGCTACATTAAAAAATACGCTTAATCAAACTTTCATAGCTTTGTGGGTAAAATTAGTTCTGCAAATGTTAGATTCTGCATTGAGAAATCGACAGCAGATTGTTTTATAGTTTTGTTTAGAACATTTGAGAGTATTATATAATATGTGTATATATATAATGGGTATGATGTCGGTAATAACCCTGACAAGTTATATGAAAAGTTAAAAAAGTTAGTGTCAGAAGTGGGATTCGAACCCACGCCCGGAAGACCGGACTGCGACCTGAACGCAGCGCCTTGGACCGCTCGGCCATCCTGACACACGGTACTACACCCTTTATTTACACCTTTTCGTTTCCAACTATGCACTTATTAAAGAGCTGACCTACGCTTGGCAAAATGATATATTTGAGAAAATTTTTGTCTAAAAAAGGAAGGTATCTAAAGCACTATAAAACTAGAGAAATTATTTAGAAATACCGTTTGGTAAGTAATATGTAAATGTATTGCCACGCAGTTCATATGTGTAGCGTTACAGAAATATCAATTTTTTATTCTGTAGGAGTTAAAATGCATGGAAGAGCTTTAATTAAATGATGAAAATTTGTTGTGCTGATTTGATTAGTATTAATATTGCACTAAGCGTATTTAAGAAAAATCAGCAGAGAAATTAGACCAAACATTCTGTCCTTCCAATATATACAGTATACGAGTATACAGTATACACGTACGAGCTCTTTTCCTTGCTAAAACATACTTCACACACATGGGAATCGAACCGACGTTGGCAATACCAAAATATTTCCCTTTGTTACTGCCGTCGATCCCTCGCTCATCGCACACAGTTTTTTAGAAATATTTCTATATCATACGATATAGAAAACAATATATAATATTCTTTTTGAAACAAAATTTTATTCTATAAAAAAATGAAACAAAACCGACCCATTTTCGAGCCGTCGTCTACAAATTTTAGTTCCCGACGCTGTGGAGTATGAATGATAAACCATTCTATCATCCATATCTTTATATAATGTAATTGAATAAGCCACCATCACTGAGTATCAAAATATCTGTAGAATTTAGAAACAACGTACTATGATTATGCCTCAAGAGGAGAAATAAATTTATAGAACTAAATTGAGGTGGTAAGTTAGCAAAAACTTTTAATTGAAAAAATTCGCCTCAGGTTGTCGGTGGCCCCTAAATTTCGAAAGCTTAGAAAATAGTTCGAAATATATGTTATGCTGAGTTGTTATATATAAATTTCACACTTGCAGAATCCAGCGTAAATATAATAAATATAAATTCACAAATAACAAGTATTTTTATTATAAGCATTCGTGAGCACTAGAGAAACAGTAGGTTCGTCACGAAAGCCGATCTATTTTTGTAGTAGTAAGTTTCTTTCGGAAGTAAATTTCAACGTCTGATGTGATTACGTACCTTTTGTAGTTGAATTAATTTATTTAAGTTTTTATATTAAGGTTTACGCTTATTTTTGTTTATTAGCGATTCATGCCATCAACTCTCTTAATGTAAATTAACGCTGTGGATTAACACTACATTTTTTCCACTTAGCGTGGTTACTCGGACAAAAATGCAACTACCCCCTATGTTTTTGTTAGTATAGTATCTATGGCAGTTAATGAACAGATTGTCTCAATATTTAATAGATCTTTTCTCGGAATTAATTGACGTTTAAGTTCCTGCCAATTTGCACAATACCAGTATACAGCCTAATCTATAGAGATTTTCCTTACGTCTCTAACAGTTTAACAAACTAGAATAAATGCATTCTCTTTTATTCGCCATTTGAAACCCGTAACCTTCCAAACGACATTTACAAGCAATCTCAGACACCGACTCGCTAATTCCGTAATGCGTAAGACAAACAACCCACACATAATACTGTAAGAAAGGCAATAGCTAATATACGGATCACCCGCTCGAACTCTGCGAAACTTTTAGACCCTGCGTTCGTGACTGTTGTCGTTGCTTACCCTCTCCCCGGATCTCTCTCTCACGCCCTCTCCCTCCCTCCCTCCCTCCCCCCTCTCTCTCTCTCTCTCTCGGACTCGCTTTGTCTACCCTCATTTTTCAATTACTTGTCTCCTCCTCGCTTTCTACCGGGATCATCGATGAGGACGTTTTCAGCTTACTGTGGCTTGTTCGATCGGAGTTCTGTGCCAGCTGAGTACTCTCGCCTGCGCCGGTCCAGAAATCGATGTATTTCTTGGCGTCTGTCTGCGTGTGAACTAATGTAGCCGTGCTGCGGTTGCCCTTTGTGTCATGATTAGGCCAAGCAGGCGAGAGTTCGGTGACAGTGGGAGTGTTGTCTTTTCTTCGGTACTGCGGACCGTCTCGCGGCCGTGCTACCTACGCTTGCGCTGTGCAGGAAAAGGGTGGGCCGGCAAAACAGGGGGCGAAAATGTAAGGTAAAAGAAGAGAAAGAGTTTTGCTTCTTTGTCCTGGCTTATCCTGGATTTATCTGTCACCGCTGCCCCAACACTAGCTCTATCCTTTTCTGAGATCTAATTAGAAGGAACGCGAATGGCCAGCAGGGAACAACAGCGACGTGTGGTGCGTAACGCCGCCCTTAAACGAAGTAGCTTTCTCATCGGCGCCGAAACAGCCAAAATATAATAAGGAAAATGAAGAAATTATATGGTCTCTGAAATGGAAACGACAAATCGTCCTTCTGGAGCTGCAGGCTTCAGAACCGCGCGCCGTACGAATGGAACTCCTATTTAAACCTTACCATACTATTTTCGCTCTAGAGAACCGGGCGTTAGAACGGGCATTTCACCAGATCTTCCTACGGGCAGTGGATTAGTTCCTCGCAATGCCAACGTCGGACGCAAACATATACAGGCACTGGTGCGCAAACAATCAAGCAGACAACAGAAAACTATATATATACATACTTCTATAGAAACCAAACTACGGTTGGATGTGGGTAATGGATCGTTGCCTGGATATTTGGGTACATACATTAGGAAAACGGGAATTGGTCTTGTATGCAAATAGACAACATAAATTGAAGCAGTGGAAGATGACTGAATTGTGTATACTAACAAAACGTATGTTTGCTCCGATCTGCAAGCTCTGTCTTTCAAAACTGTTATAGAAAAATGTCTACAAGGAGGGAAATTTTTTTAAATCAGCAGCACTCGTAGCCCAAGTAATAGAAGTGAGCACAAGAACCAATCAGCAGCATCGTTGACGAGAAAAGGGTGCTCTTATCATAATACGAAAACATTATCTGCGTAGCACCATTGGAAAATTTTTGCTAGGTTTCTAGAATTGTGGAAGTTTTCGTAGGATAGGATGTATTTGATAGTAGGTTTATTTGCGTGTCTACCGGTTATCGTCGGCCGAATGACACGTGGGTGACCAATGATGGCTTTGGGTAAACACATATAGATGATTTCATGTTAGATTTGAACGTTCGCGATAGAGCAAATGACTATTATTAACGCATTTTTAGATGACCCGTAAGCTTTACGGTGTATATCTTCAGAAACAGGTGGGTTTTGCCGTTAAGCTGTCTAGTTGCTCATTTTTCAGTGATACTGTAGTTAAATGTTTGGCTGTTAAACATTCATCGGCCCAATTCGCATCCCATTACAGGCGTGGTTCCTTTTTAGCGGCAACTGGTAGAATGATGACACATCAACGTGATAAGATCTAAATCCTTCAGGACATGTCCTAATGGCTGGTCAGAATGGGAAACCTTTTTTGTCAGGACTCTTATATTTCATTGTAGCAACGACGCATAGTAGCATTTACAATCAAGCATCGATTAATTGGTTTATAGCTTTAAGGGTGCGAATTTGCACCTATAAAGTGGATTAGCTATGGATCAATGGATGGAATAAAGAAGAAAATCGCGATACATCGAATAATCATTCCTTTATAATAATTTCAACTCGTTTTGTACACTCTCGAACAGCTCAAGCTTCACCTGAATCTAAACCGATTCCTCCATAAAATTAATACAACCCTATCAGATTGTTTGATGCCCATTGAGTGCCCATCTAGGTCTGGTCCTCCCCTCGACATCAGTTTCGAATTAAGAGACTTTTAGTGTCCCGCGTGTAGAACACGAGTCTCCTCTTGGCTTGGCGATGTGAAGGGGAAGCCAGCCTTAAGGAATCAAGTCACAATGTAAAACAGGTTTGAACTTGTATCTGCTACAACGACTCAACCATCACAGCAAGCAGTTCTACGAGAACTGATGAATTGAATAGGTGTCTTGACTTCTATATGGGGTGGTGCCTTTAAACTGTACGTCTAAGCGGTCAGGTACAAAGAGCGCAGGGAAGCTCAGCTCAGCTCAGCTCAACAATAATGACACGAAAATTCCAAAGTTAAAATCTTTTATAACTATAGATGGCCATCGAGGATTATATAAAACGAGAGAGAATGTAGTCTTCATTATCCTATGATAATAGATGCTTCAGTTAAGTATTATTGCATTTTCTAAGCTTGCGGCAGGAACGACCGTGGCTACTTAAGAAGCTCATATTCTAATCCTCGACGTAAGAATGATCTTCAATTGATGTTCTTGTTTAGCGTGGTGAGTATTGCCTGCAGAGGGCTTCGTTTATGTAGCAACACGAATGCTGTACAAAATAGACACTGTCTCTGTTGCCAATATTTGATAGCACTTCCGTATCGAAGGTGCGCTCCGCGTAATTAGCAGGTGGAATTTTCTATCATAAAAAGTTACTTAGCGATCGAAACAGGATCTGCAAGAAAAAACGATTGGCCGTTCAGTTTGAACCGGCAAGATCCGGCGACGCTACCAGGGCGGGTGAACTGTTGGCCTCGCTCTAAACATGTAGGTATTCTTTATTTTGAGATTTGTTCAGTCCGGTTTACTGACGAGGCCTTTAGTGGCTTCCCGTTCCCAACTATGTGAGAAGATCTGTATTTCTGGTATTCAGTCCAGCGGGTTGCGATACCCTCGCAAAATGGAACTTGCCCCCCAATGTGACCATTTGAGCGTACTGACACGAGTTTTCCGCTGCCGAAAAAAGATTTAACCGACATAAGAACCCAAACGGCAGTAACACAGTCCAGAACTTCTGCCTCTACGGCGGATGTATCGACAGAGTGCGGCAACAAGACTAGCACGTCTGACCCTTTAACTTGCTTCAGCATGTGCCCCTCCCAATGGAAGTAGTGACCGATAATGAAAGCGCGGATTAACATGGGTCACCTTGTAACAGGGTAATGCACCCCTTGCTGTTGCATTTTAGTCTAGGCGACGACGAATTATGTTCGGCTGATCAGTGGTAACGATTCCGGTCAACATCATGAGGCGCGCAATGGTCCTGACAGCAGGCATCAGCTTAGCGTCGTTGTTGCTGTATGAGGCGCACGGAGTTAACGTATCGCCTGCTATGCCACAATCTATTAACTAGTTGGCTCGAATGCTTTCCTTACTCAGCAGAAGCGGCTTGACTGGGTGTGCCACACAAGTACCAACATTTAATCTCACAAATCTTATCACTTTGGAACTCGGCAAAGGAATCCTAGGGCTGCTGATGTCGGTCATTTCGCCAGTAGGTCTAAGCACGATCTTCCTGAAGCGGTCCGATGAGCTTCGTATTGCCAGTGACGAGCCCGAGTTCAGTGTCGACGAGCCAATAGGGAGCTCAGTATTTAAAAAGCGATGTGAGTCAAGACATGGAACTCTTGTTCTGCAAAAAGCCGGATCGCGCTGAGACCTGCCTTAATACTGGGCGGTATTAGCGACAGCTGCTGGTTGGACGGATTAAGTAGCTTCGCGACGAATCGATCTGATCGTCTCATTAAGGATCTGGACAAAGCCGTCAAGTACGGATACTTGAATGCGTCTCAAACTGAGGAGTGCCGAGAAAAATGTAAGTACCGGATGAACTCGGACCTTGGCGGGGGAATACTTCAGAGGTGCTAACGAATATGAAGTTCCTTCAAGTGCTAATACGATGTGATATCAAAAGTTATACGCCAGCTCCAAAACGAAATTAATTACTGAAGACGAACATCAGAGTTCGCAAGACGACCGACCCCGTAGAAGTTATTTGGCTACTATCAGCTGTGGACAATTTCCGGCTAATCTAGCTTCCAGTATACCGACCTTGAAGGCAATGATTTTGGTTTAAATAACCAAACAAATGATTAGAAATTACATATCTGGTATACCTTGTGTAACAAGTAATACTTGAACTAATCTATCGGAATTAACCTTGCTAGTGTAATATGAGGAGCCGACCTCTTTTGCAATGCAATCAGTATTCATTATTTAGTTTTTTAGGTACCGAAACTGATCTGCAATCTTCCGTTGGGGGAAACCAGACCAGACTAGGTGCAGCCATACGATACAAATTAACGTTACTGGGCAATGTACGTAGAAGACATTGTAAATGCGTCCGTCTATGACTGTAACAGATCTCTGAAATAGTATGCACGCTTGTTGTGCATAATCTGTTCATCGACGATCAAATGTAAATCGGTTATCTCGCACTACGTTATACGTGTACATGTTTCCGTAGTTATAAAATATGTCCTACGTTCTATTCTAATAAATTACTGATTATAAACGCGCTAAGAGATCATAACTTTGGAGAGGACGTGGTTAAAGGCTGAATCATAAACTTCCGGAAATGCTTACTCAGCGATACAAAAAAAAAGTCATTGATCGATGCAACAAACAAAAAAATTGACCCAGACGACAATGTTACGTTAACAATGCAATGGCCAGTTTATGCCCATTTCAACATTTTGGGCTTTGGGGACGTTTGAAAAACGTTTCCTCAATGATAGTATAAATTCTGTTATATTCATAAGCGGTGATACTTGCTTTTGCGATATGTACAAAAGGAGCTCTGTAGCCTTCGCTTCGATTGTAGGCATTAACTCGTAATAGCTCGGCTAAATCTCCGTGCTGCATAAACTCAAACACCATCCATGGAACCACGTCGTTATCTGGAAGGACACGTAATCAAAACATGTTAAACTACCTAAACTATCATTCGACGAATCTTATCTAATCTCTATAACCGATTTATTATCTAAACGTGTAGTTAGAAAATAAGACACAAATCAAATGGTTGTGTCCGTCTATTTACAGCAACTAAAGGTAGATCTTTAAATGCGTGTACCCTTTTGCACTGCCTAACAAATATATCCTATTGTTGGCGAAGACCGCTGACAATCAATCGATTTCCGCTCATTTGGTGATCGTCAACTACAAACAAGCGCAATTGTTTTTTGACAGGCAAGTCATCGTTAGTTAGACTTCGCCATATGTTGTTGCTGGCCTCAACTAATCAACTCGAAGGTTATTAAAAGTAACTTATTATAAATAGGTTAGGAAAAAATTAGCGAACATAGAAGCTGTTTTTTTGCGACTGTGGCAACGGTACGCTTTTTATACGTTAGAATAGGCTTTTGTCGCTACTATCGTTATGTCAGGATATTGCAGCAAAAAAGAACCAAGATACTACAAAACCGGTAGACTAAGCCTCGTAATCAGCTTTCTACGTGGTCGCTAGAGGAGCTCAGGTTAAAAAGGTTACCAGCGGTAGCCATCTGCAGCGTTCTAAGCATCGAAATCTCATTTGAGTATCTCATGTGACTGCTTAATATTGTATGCGATGTTATATATCCCGACTGGTCTGCAAAAACAACAAATGATTTCCTCACACAGTTACGTGTAAGTATTTACGTTCATTGGGCAATGTATAATCGTGTGATTAACTTGTCGCTGCGTCTGCTGTTTTGTCGTCGAGCGGTGTCATGGAACTTGTTATTTTAAAACTCAGACAGCTCAAGTCGTTTCCCAGCCGAAAATGCTGTACTATTTAGTTTTTTGATTGGCAAACGCAGATCCCTTACCTAAAAATGTTCTAACCACCTTCTCGTCGCGACAGATTCAACTATAACTTTCATAACACTCTAGCCGATAGCAGTAACCATTTTGGTAACTGCCGCTTCAATTTTCCGTTAGTTTTTCAGTGATTCACAAAAATGAAGAAATGGTATGATGACTGTCCAGGCCAACATTAATCAAAGTTTCCCAGTCGTTAAAAAGGACATTTCGCTCACTTATTCTCCTGGTTGATAGATACCGCAACGACACTATGGGATGTCGGAGGCCCAGTTCATTCGTATCTCGCCATCCCTAGCATTTGCATAACCATAGATCCGTCTAATCAATTAGTTACACGAAGTATATGACAAAAATACGTCAAAAAAATCATAGTTGTCCGTTTCTTTCAAGTAGAACAAGTCCATGTCTTCAACTGCTTCTTGCCTGCGGATTCAGTCTAATTTCTGTGTAGCTATGCGTAGAAACATCGCAGTCTAGACAACATGGCTCTATATCAAAAATAATTACCTGAATCAAATTATCGCCGACTGTCGAACATACCTCGACAGACCCATCCATATAAGCGGCGCAAGCTCACCAAATGATTATATACTTCATGTGAGCAAGCCTATATCCGGTTCATGTGCTATTTGCTAAGGTTAGATTAGCAACTATTTCCGTATATCTTCGTTATGGCACTCACATCCGAATATAAACGAGGCCAATTACGCAAGACTTGCCTTCGTGGAGCACTAGCTAGGGGCAATCAGAGCGAGCCTATTAATCAAATCTTTGAGCGACTGTCTTCAAAGCTTTACCAGAAACACCCGCTTGGCGTACGTCTTTACGTCGTGTAACTTAGCAGAGCCTGCTACCCCACTGCGTATACGAATTGCTGACGTAAGAGGCAGGAAGGTTAAGCTGGCTAGAGGAATGGGAAGGAGGCAAAGATACACATACATAGACACAAGAAGAGCTCGCGGGCATTTAACCCCCACAGCAGCACATGACAATAGCCGCCTATCCGTTGAAAAACTGCGCTCCGCCGAAAACAATGCAATGCGCGTTTTCTGTACGTCCACAAGATTGGCTTTTCCACAATAGTCAAATATGACCTTTGTACAGCTTAGCCGCTTCTGACTGGCAGCCTGTATTTTACAAGCAATGTCCTAATCAAGAACGCGGACAGAAGTAACAGAACTTCATGATGGGGTCGTTCATGGCTCGATTCATTAGCTTCTAGGAGCAATCGCATATGACAGGTCGATCGACTGGTAACGAACTTTGGTAAAGTGAAATTGACGGCACGGATGATTAGACCTGAAAAAAAAAATGTAATCAACTCGTCGTTTCAAGAATCGTTGAAGCCAATTCGCGGTGCTCCCCAGAATATCGGACGTGCCTCTGCAGTAGGGAATCGTTTTGTATATACTGCTATTTAAATAAACGTATGAAAGCGTAAGTCTTTTGTTTTTCACAAGAAATTAATATATCTCATCGTAATCAGAAAAATGCAATTAAACATAGGGGATATCGCTGGATTCTCAGTAGGCTGCTACAGTGGTTTTTCAACGACACGGAGCATGTAAGCCTTGAAAGAAGATAAAACGAATCATATTAGTCGTATTTTTGGCTGTAAGCAAATTACGCTAGTGTTAATTACGTCGCGAGGAGAATCAGTTTCAACTGGTACTTCATTACGAAACAAATAGGTCGTAAAATTTGAGGGTAAAGCTTCAATTTAGCTCAGTATCACAATGCCCTATTGAGGCCGTTTAACCATGTTGGCATGCTCAGTGATATAGTCATATATCAAGCACAATCGAATGGGTCCTTTTCGCTAAATAGAAAATACCGAAAGCAGTCAAGCATACATGTTATAGCTTTTCGGCGGACGTGGTAAGGGAACTCTTCTGTCGTTCACAGATCTGTTTCTGCATAATATATATTTCTGTACAAGAAACAGACCTACATAGCTAATATTTTATTAGGCACTGCGAAGTAATATAATTTCTCCTTCTATTTCATTTTGCTGTCACTTGTATCCGCCCACACAGGTCAGCGCGGAACGAAACTGATCGGATCTTTTCAAAATCCACAAGAAGTTCTTTGCCTCAGTACGTCACTGGGTTGTTATCGGGCGCTTCAGTTAGGCAAGCGAACGTGAACGCAAATAGATCCACACGCTCACCAACAGACGGACAACAATAGGCCATCGTCGGAGGCCACATCTGGACGCGTGCGGAAGTTGTATTTGCGCTTCCGTCAGCCATCTCGCCGTTTGCTCCTAATCTTTTATGGGCTCGCTTGATTTTAGCATTTAAAGCGCGCATAAAATGCGCCAAAAAGGATGACGCCATGATGTCAAGCTGCGTCGGGGAACGTAGGCATTCAAGGTCCCAGAAAGAAATTTTTAATGAAACCGCTAGAGCTGCGGCACGACATTGTTGCCGTTCTGATGAGATATAAATACAAACATATTTGCCTGACTTAGTATCCTGTATACATCCAGTAATAAGCACGATTACAGCCAGCCACTAAGAGTTATATTCGTGTTTGGGAAAACAGTATAGATACGCGAGAATTAGAAAAAAAAACGCACCCAACAGACCGCTTCAGATTGTTCCCAATGAGGCAATATTGTCTTGTGGGAATAGTAATTCTATTTCAATTAAACAGCTACTGCCTTTTGTCAAGGCAATAGCCGTGCAGAGTTTAAAATGTCCCTTTGGAGAGTAGCTTTTCCATGGGTTGTTATTACATTATATTATAGGCGTACAAATGGGTTCATCTATACACTCATAAAACTTTTCATGTCTACGTTGTGTCGCCGTACGTTTAACGGGTGACGAAAAGAGTGCGATAATAGCCTATTCTATCATATGTTGCTATTCGATAATCTATGTATTCCTCAGGTTACATCTTCGTCTTCTATTCTCAGACTTTTATCGGATAGTAATGAGCGGGCTATGGCTGAAGGTATTAAGCATAGAGTTTGTTCTGCAAAAAGCTTTACGTGATAGCACGATGTAGCGTCGTTTTACGTGTTTCTACTTAAGCCGTATTGTGTGACAACGGCCTTTATAGTTTAACGTCTTTATTAGACATTTTCAATATAGTTAGGTACGTGTGTTTCTCTACGGCTTAGAACAATTGCTATCGGCCGTGCTGTGCTAGGTTGGTGATGTTACAAACATTTTGTTCCATATATAATTGATATCGCATCGTGTATATAAAAGATGACCATATTTACAGATAGTTTAATTGATGATAACAGATAGACTCGCCGTTTTTTTTCGCCCAGGGCTGAAACTTTCATCTCGAAATTTTGCGAAGGAAAATTCTATTTAGGCCAAGGATTTGTTTAAATTGAAATAGTATTGTCGACCGGAGCTGCCAATGGTCACAGATTCGACACGCCGCTGGGAAGATTATGCGATCTTCGGATTGATGAGCTGAGGCATAACTCTGGAGTGCTTCAAGCAGCAGTAATTCGATTATCAACAAAGGGGCCACTGCGGCGCACTTGTGTCCAGAGCTGTTACTTAGATGAAATCTAATTTGCAGCTACAGAGAAAACTAGTATTATTAAAGCTGTCATAGGATTGACGCGCCAGGTCTGCCAGATTGTCCTTTGCCAGGTTTCTTAAATCTATCCGATAGCTTTCTGTGTATCGATTTAATCCTGTGGACGAGTGACCTTCTTTAGGCTCAATGGAGACCTAACAGAAGCTATCATGGTGGATGCGTCCCTTGTAATACCTTCAATTTGGCCGTTCAGTAGGGCAAATGAGTTTTTCGTTTCTTACCAATCTAATTTACTACGAATCAGACTGATGGCATTTTAGACGTTTACCCTGGGGGTATGGATAGAAATAATCTGAGCAACGGGTCTCGAAGAATGCATGATTGGTTTTTGCGTATGAATTTTATTGGACTCCAATTAAAGCTGAATATCTAAATGAAAATGCAAGGGAATTTTTTACACAGATTCCAAAACCTGTCACATTTCGATCTTTTCAGCTTTTTTCCTCATTAAATATAAACATGTGTTAGTATTCAACTTTTTGCTTAAGTCAGACAGGATTAAATAGCCCGTTTTTACGTACCGGAT